TTGGGTCTACCTTTATTTTGGCTACATAAATCAACTATTATTTTATTATCTTCATTAATTAAAAGTTGTTTTGTATATAGCATAATTTTTTTTTCTACTATATTACTAGCCGAACTAGAATCACCAGTTTATTCTTAATATAAAGTACAGATCTAATGACTTTTAGTTAGCAATTCTAAAATTAAATCAACTTTATTTTTGAATTGTATACATATAAATCGGGTATGATAAGCTGGTATTTTACTTTTTAATTGATTGCAAATTGTATAAGATTTACTTGTTATCTCATCATTGCTTAAATTTTTATCAACACACTACAAAAAACATGTATAGAATGTATTATTGCCAGATGAGTAACAGAAAATACCAAATTTATGACTAATATTATCAGGCAAATTATGAATAAAAGTATATTTTTTTTCTAAATAATATACAATATAGTATCTATTATTAGTATAGATAATTTTAAATTAATAATTTTGCTTCACATATTTACCTTGGTTCCGAAGACATAAATAGTTCAATATTTAATACTTCCCAATAAGATAAAGTAGATAGTTTATTATTTAAACTATCATAATCAGATTTAGTTTGAGGGTTTGAAAAAAACTAATACCATTATAAACTTTAACGCTAATAGAATCATCTAATGATCTAACTGGAATTTCTAATTGATGATTTTTACTTATTTTAATATTTTGTTTATGCAAATATGTAGAATATTCAACTAAACATTTAGAAAATTTTTCTAATAAAGGGAATAACCAAGTAAATTAAGATTTTTCTATTCATAGCATATTCAAATGTCCAAAAAGCAAATTTGCATATCTATTCACACAATCATAATCAAATTGCGGTCTAGTATTTTTATAACTTGATGGATCTGATCTATTAAAAAATTTCTCAAATTCTTTAGAAGGATATATTGCTTTTACTTTCATCTTTTCAATACCACAAGTATCTATATACTATATAGTATTTAATAAATCATTTATAAAGGATTTTTTAGTAGATTCTGCAGCCAATCTTCCATTCCAAACTCCACCATTATTTCTTATTCATTCTACTATATCTTGACGTAATAAATCTTTTTTGTTTAGTTTTTTTGGTAATTGAAAAGAAGGTAAAGAAATTTGAGTAGCATTAGACATAAGTTCTTTAAATATATCCTTTTCTTTTTGTATAAGTGGTTGATAATCTTTCAGAATTAGTAATTCAAATAAAACAAAATTTCCAAATATTTGTAAAATCTCATTCAAATTACATTAAATATTAACATTAACAAATTCATCCTTTAATGAATTCCTTACTTTTGCTTTTAATACAAAATCATGATAATTATTATTAATAAAAACTTTTGGAAAAATTTCTTCAGTAGCTAATAAACAAAAAAATTCACATAATGAGGGGTTACTGATAACAGGATGTATTTGCCAGTTAAAT